CCATGTTGCTCAGGGGATGAGGCTTGAGAGGTGGGAGACGTCAGCCCATTGTGCTCTCCCCAGCTCCCAGTTGCATGGCTCTGCTTCTTGCTAACGGGGTATGTCTACACTGCCACCCTAGTTCGAACTAGGGTGGCTAATGTAGGCATTCAAAGTTGCAAATGAAGCCCAGGATTTAAATATCCCGGGCTTCATTTGCATCTTGCCGGGCGCCACCATATTAAAATCCCCCTTACTGCGGACTCCGTGACCGCGGCTACACGCGGCACAGAGTAGGTACTTCGAATTAGGATCTCTAATTCGAACTACCGTTACCCCTTGATACACTGCTAGGGCAGTCCTACTTCTTACTCCGAATCCCCTCCCCCAAGTGACACACCTGGGAGCCAAAGGAGCAGAGTGGCCTGGGCTTGGTTGCTCCACTTGCCACAGCTGGTGAGTAAGGGGGGAAGGTCCCACCAATCCCTTATTCTACATCACTGGGGGAGAGGCCTTGAGAGAAGGGGTGGAATGAGGGTGAAGAAAAGCCAGGAAGAGGTGGGGGAAGGGTTTGGGTTAAGGGGTGAAGTGGGGATATAATCCCAGGCCCTGCACACACCCCTCCAGAATCTAGTTCCATGTCCCAACTACTCTTGTTATTTTGCCACAGTGGAACAGCTTCACCAGGAGGGACGCCTACATCAGAATATGGTTAGACTGGCTCATTGGTTAAAGAACTTTCCAGAGCTGGGCAACCCTATTCAAGTCCCTTTTCCATTTTTGTCAGAGAGGAGACAATTAAACCAGGTGTCAAGTATCAGAGGGGTAGCCGTGTTAGTCTGAATCTGCAAAAGCGACGAGGAGTCCTGTGGCACCTTATAGACTAACTGAAGTGTAGGAGCATAAGCTTTCGTGGGCAAAGACCCACTTCGTCAGATGCATGCTCCTACACTTCAGTTAGTCTATAAGGTGCCACAGGACTCCTCGTCAATTAAACCAGGGTTTCCCATAGGGATGTGAACAAAGCATCACAAGAACGGGTGATGCTTGTTGGATAATGGTTAGCCATGGTTAACCGTTCTATCCAGCCCCTCCCACCCGTTCTGTCCCACTGCCAATTCCCAGCCTAAGAGCTGCAGCTCTGCATTCAAAGTATTTTAGGAGCTAGGCAGGCAGACAACCCGGCTTCTGCCAGATCCTGGGGGCTACTTCTGCTACAGCTCTGTAGAAAAGATATTTTAGAAACTGGTGGGTAGGCAGCCTGCCTTGGTTCTGGTTTGCGCCAGCTCCCAGGAGCTACCACCTACTGCCTGCTTGTCTGACAGGCAGCCTACCCGCCTGCTAGCTCCTAAAATGCAGGATGCTCTGCTCCTTTGAATGCAGAGCTGCAGCAGGGGTAGCCCCCGGGATCCAGCATGAGCTGGGGCTGAGCCAGGCTGCCTGCTTGCTGTCTCATAAAATACTTTGAATGCAGAGCCACAGTGTGGATAGCTTCCCAGACCCAGCATGAGTGGGGACTGAGCCAGGCTGTTGGCCAGCCCTCTACAAATTTACTGGTGGAGGGGAGAAGGGGAAATGCGTGTAGTTGAGCATTAATCCTGTGGTCACCAACCAGTTGATTATGATCAACTGGTCAATTGCGGGGTCACAGCCAGCTGATTGCGAGGTGATCTCAGTGCCCCCTTGCTTTCCGTATTCCCAATGAGGATCCTATGCTGGCACTACAACCTCCTGTGAAAGTGGAGCTAACTCCGGCTTCCTGCAGCATGGGGAGGAAGTCCTGCAACTGCACGCCAGTTCTGGTTTCTCAGGAAGCACACATGCCGCTCCTTGCCTCTCCACCACAGCGAGTGTGCTTCCTGAGAAGCTGGGTCTGGTGCACAGCTGTGGGACAAAATCCACTAACCCTGGAACCCCAGAAGAGTTAATCTGGCCTTAGGCCTTGAACCTCAGTCCTACCTACCCTCCCATCACCATGGGGATGGTGTGCCAGCAGAGTGAGGTGTGTCAGTTGGGGTTACATCTGTGAGGCTTGGGGGTTTTTGGAGGGGTTTTTTTGTATCTCACTGGTGTGATCCCCAACTGATTTTTCTGTGGGTCACTGGCTCCTGACCCAAAACAGGTTTCCCACCTCTTCCATAAAAAAAGACAATGCTCAAACATTTTGGACATAATATTTTATTTAAAAACAAAGCCTGGACAACAAGCCCCTAATTGGGTCCAAGTCCCCATCTGGCCACGGCATCATAATAGTCCTGCACCCCCACAAAGCCCCCAACCCTGAGCCTATCATACACTTGAACCCCCTGCCCTGAGCCCCTCACATCCCCAAACTCCTGCACCCCCACATCTCCAGTTATGCCACAACACTTCTGCTCCATCCACACACTGCAAATCTATGTCCTGAGCCCATCATACTCCCAACCCCTTTGTCCTGAGCCCCTCATACATCCCAATCCAAACTCCTGCATCCTCACATCCACAAACCTGCAGCTTGCTCAGCACCCCAATCCTTCCCCCCCCCCCCCCCCCCCGCAACCTTATGCTTGGGTCCTGGAGCCACAGGTACAGATGCGCGTCTCCCTCCAGGAACTGGGGCACATGCGCTACTATTCAAGAGTTCCTTTTTCTAATCAGAGGTCGTGTCAGGTGGGAAAAAATCTTCTTGCTGCAAATGAGGTCTTTAAGTCTCAGGAACAAAGGTGAACATATTAGCAGGGCACAAAACTGCTGTAGGAGCATAATTAGCAGCATTGCTGTATGCAAAGAGGAGAGTTGGGACCTGACCAAGCTAACAATGGTGTGGAAGAAATAGTCACATCAGTGGTTGGGGCGTTCTGTTACTCTTGCATTTCTTATAAGCTGCAGCCACAGAGCTATGCCAAAACATACTCACTCCACATTAGTGGACTCTAGCTTGAGACAAGTATTATGTTGATGTTCTAATGAAAATTTCTTGGCTGCATTTTCTTCAGGAGATGCTATCCCAACATCTTTAACTATAGAAGATATTGCTGCTGCCCCCAAAATCAAGCATGCCCTTTTCCTGCATAGAAATGGGTTTTAGTAGGTTGCATTTTTTTCAAAGCACTTTACTAACTAGCTCCTTTTTCCTTCAGTGCCCAGGAGGGATGTATATAGATGGAATATAATGATGGTACAGAGAGGTGAAGTGACTGGACTTGACCATTCATTATCAGTGGGAAATAGGTCAATGGAGGGATGATAAAGAACTTTCTGGGTGTCTGGCTGGTGAGTCTTGCCCACATGCTCAGGGTTTAGCTGATCGCCATATTTGGGGTCAGGAAGGAATTTTCCTCCAGGGTAGATTGGCAGAGGCCCTGGAGGTTTTTCGCCTTCCTCTGTAGCATTGGGCACAGATCACAGCTGAAGGACTCTCTGCATGTTGGGGCCTTCAAAGTATTGGAAGGCTTCAATATCTGAGACATAGGTGAGAGGATTATTCTAAGAGGGGTGGGCGAGATTCTGTGGCCTGCACTGTGCAGGGGGTCAGACTAGATGATCATAATGGTCCCTTCTGACCTTAAAGTCTATGAGTCTATGAAAATCAGGATCTAAGAATAATGAGTATGTGTCTAAATCAGAACAAAATATTTGAAACAAGACCCCAGAGGTAAACATCCCTTATTTTGCACTCAATGTTCAAAAGCTGTGTGTGTTATGAGGAAAAAACCCTAAATTTAATGTATAAATTAAATCTGCCTCAAGCTCTCCAGCTGCTTTACTTGACAGATAGGCACTTATCCATATGCAGCACATCTTACTGAAACTGGCAGCACTGAAGGGTTAATAACATTTACTCAGTTGTTCAAGTTTTCTGCTATATTTGGAACAGTAGAATTTCTTCCCCAGCAATTATGCACATTTTCGCCTAATAAACTGTTTTTCCTAAAAATTGTAGCACAAAATCCCTTTTATTTTAACCTACAAAGTGCTAGCACCTTGTTCAAGTGGTTGAGCCCCTGAGCATCCACTGAACCTCATTGCTTTGGAGTCCAATAAAACACCCTTGATTGCCTTCTTCCCTGTATCAATGGATGGTTATCCTAATAAAATCCATGTGTTCCCTGCACCTTTCCTTTCACCTTTAGCTTTCCCTAGTTAGTATTATTTTTCAAGTAAGCTAATGTTCAAGAAGAGTCATACTAATTACCTTGGGATAGTCAGGAATAGGTACTTCATTACACGGTTGGCCTGGATGAGAGTGATATAAAGATGAAATGTTCCTTGCCTAATATCCTGAGCCATCCAAACTCTAGCTTGAAAATATGAAAACCTTGTTCTTTGGGAAGATACGCATCTGCATCTGTCAAGATACATATATAGGGTGATTTATATAAAGTAATTAGCTAATTAACATGTTTATGCTACAAATAATTTCCTCTATGTTGGACGTCCATACTGCCCATCAAATGATGTTATTGAGGTCTCTTCTTCTGACATCCCATTTTTTTATTTTTCAGGTGATAATCTTATGCTGTTGACATGCTCTTATAGTAATGGT